ATGGGTTTAGGGTTCAGGGTTCTTTGGACCTCCCTGGAATAGGATGCCTTTGGTCAGCGACTGCTCATAGCAGCCGATGCCGTGGACGAGCGCCTCAAGCTGGAGCTGCAGAGCATCTGTCATGGCGACTGCAAAGGCAGGATTGTAGGGTTTAGGGTTTAGGGTTTAGGGTTTAGGGTTCAGGGTTCAGGGTTTAGGGTTTAGGGTTTAGGGTTTAGGGTTTCGGGATCGCAGGTGTGCCCGATGGGGTCGATGAGAGCTGGGAACGCTCGCATTGAAAGAGACGTTGCACTCGGCCTGCCTGTCTCCCTGCAGACCACAACATGCGGCTTGACGACGGCTCCATCGGCATGTTCGACTTTCAGTGGGCTGGCAAAGCATGCATCGGAAAGGACATCGCCTATTGCCTCATCTGTGCCTCAGGCACGCGGGGTGCTTTCATGAGATTCGTATACCAAGAACTTCTTAGACTACAAGTTATAGTATTGCTCTAGTACTATAATTGTATTATGCTAGTATTATTTTAGTTACTATTATAGTATTATTATAGTATTATTATAGCATAATTATGGTGTTATTATCGTATTATTATCGTATGATTATCGTATTATTGTAGTATTATGATACTATGATTAGAGTTTTACTACAGTGCTGTTACACCCTGAGGTCGCCTCTGTTCAGAGGACGAGGCGTTCTACCTGGCCACCTACCACGAGGAGCTGTCACGGCAACTGGCGGCGAGACGGGAGGAGGCCCCAACGCTGCAGCAGGCGGAGGGTCCTTGCGCACTTTGGGATCCCTGAAGTAAGGAACCTTCCTGAAGGTCCCATGAGGAGCCTAAACCCTAAACCTTAAAGCTAGACCCTAAACACCTGCCCGGGCGTTCAATGTGATGCTGAGCCCTAAATCCTAAACCCCTAACCCCTAACCCCTAACCCCTAACCCCCTAAGCCCCAAACCCTAAACCCTAAACCCTAAACCCTAAACCCTAAACCCTAAACCCGCAAACCGCCCATTTTTGGGGGATGTTTCGGGACTGTCTGGGTTCCAGGTCTCCGCTTGCTATCGGCTGGCACTGCTGGACCTGGCCGGGGGAGCATCCAAAAATAGGAGGGCTTCCCTATTCTCTGACATCTTAATTGGAGCGCTGACATTCTGTGAGCGTCAGATTATTGGGTTGGGTTTAGGGTTTAGGGTTTCGGGTTAAGAGTTTAGGGTCCCCCTTGTCGACCCCCTTATATTAAAAGGGGGGACAAGCCCGTCTGCTCTCAGCAGCTTGCCTGCAGGCGCGGTGGATGGCTGGCTGCCCCTATGGCTGGTGGGGCCACGGCCGGGTTCTGAAGCAAGCAGCTGCGGAAGTCTTGCGAGCTCTGGATGGCGGGGAGGCGCAAGGTTTAGGGTTTAGGGTTTAGGGTTTAGGGTTTAGGGTTTAGGGTTTAGGGTTTAGGCCTCCGGTGGCCCACCATGTGCAGGTGCAAAACTATTCCCATGTGCATTCCCTGCGCGGCCATCGCCAGGCCCTGAGCTCCACGGATGACTACCGCGCGGCGCTGAATCGAGAATTCCCACCAGAATTCGCGAGAAAAATCAGCGTGCTTGGGGGGAAACAAGCTACTAAGGACTCAGGGAATGAGGTACCCTATATCATCCCTTAAAGGTTTATAAGGGGCCCTAATTGGTTCACTCATTCAGTTGCAGCGTGATGATGGCAGGTCCTGCTTGGGTTTGCTTTATGGCAGTTGGCCCCTGATGCGAGGAGTCGGATGCGTGCCCCAAAGGCAAGGTTCGCATGATCTATTCTGGTGGGAAGTCCAACCAGAATGGCATGAGCCGCTTGCCATCCACTGGACAAGACCCCAACACCAACATACCTCTAAATACTTTCCAAGCCCTTTTAAGCCCGAGAAAATCCCTGTAAGCCTGATAAACCCTATATTCCCTAATCATCATCTACCTAACCCGTCCTTCCCTGGTACCATAGGCAACGGGCCAGAGGATGAGTCCGGCGCCAGCGCGCACCATGGCTTCGACGACATCGTTTCGGTTGACCACACTTTGGGTAGTTGTTTCGTGTGGTCTTCCAGTTTGTTGTTGCTAGCGACCTGCCCCTGGCCGCGGCCTTGTGTTGAGGGCCGCTGCGGAAAACCATGGCATGCCGGTCGAACTTAAGGGGGGCCCTTGGGGATCAGAGGCCTGTGCACACCTACCACGCCATCCAGAGTCTCTCGGCTGCCTGCATCAGTTTCCGTCCTATCGGCGTGCCGGGTGCAAAAAGGGAAGGCGTTGGAGGGATGCCATGATTGGCCGTCAGCCGAGATACCAAGCTTGCGGGCTCCAAGAAGTACCAGGAGGCCGGTGACTGCCGCAACTGCCGCATCACCACGCATCACGACGCATCATGCTGCAGCCCTAAACCCCAAACCCCAAACCCCAAACCAAACCCTAAACCCTAAACCCGGAACCCTACTGTTGCGCGTGCTTTGACCTGCGATGTGAGGCTGCCAAGAAGGCCCTCTGCGAGGTACCGCCAATCAGACTTAAGTGCCAGGGCGGGAAGATGCCCAAGTGCCCCTTGGCTCAATCGCGAGGCGCCCCCGGGTTCCCTTCTTAAGGCCTGTGAAGGGGCACATTGGGCTCATGGAATCCTGCGCCCCAAAAACATGGGCCGGAAATCCCAAACCCCCAAGCCCCAAGGTGGTTCGGAATATGATGTTCCGAGCGTGTGCAACATCCGCAGTCGATGTTGCGAGGAGCGAGTGCGCTGCTTCGTGTCGCAGTGTGGTGCAATCGCTACCGAGGCTATGATGCCGTGGGGGTCTCAGCAGCCATCTGAGACAAGAACCCTCGGGAGCTGAGCCATGCTCCAACTTTGCCAACTTCTTAGCGGGGAATTCGGGAATTCCGCATCCTTAAGAACTTCCCCTGCAGCCCTCTTTTTTATGGCCCATGACTCCCCCCTTACCCTAAACCCTAAACCCTGAACCCTAAACCCTAAACCCTAAACCCTGAACTGTGACTTGTGGCTCATGGACGCTGTCTGAGGACTGGGTGCCCCCGGCCAGCAGCCTACAAGGGGGTTTCTGCCAACAGGGGTACCCTTTTGGGGGTTCCTATACTAAAGGACTTATACCTTTTTCGGGGTATATGAAGGGTACCCACTATTTGGGGAAATGCTCTTTTTTGTGTGCAAAAAATGATGCCTTTGAGAGAGTTCCGTTCGGCACTTGCGCTCGAGCCTTGTGCCTGTCAACTGAGCCGCCGCCGAAGCCGAAGTTTCGTGTCTGCTCCTTCCTCAACCCGACGCCGCCAAAGCCTACGCAGCACCTTTGCTGAACCTGAGCCCTAGGGTTTAGGGTTTAGGGTTTAGGGTTTAGGGTTTAGGTTTTAGGGTTTAGGGTTGCGTAGCCTTTAACCAGCTGTGGGTTAGTAGCCCACATGATTTCAGACGTAGGTTCGGAGGGATCTGGCCCTTCGTAAGTTTCAGGCGTTGCGGGATGTGTAGCATGCCGGGGCTTAGCCTTTTTGAGTCCAGGAAGTCGGCCCAGCATGGGCGCGTCAACAACGCAATCCTGGAGCTTAACAAGCCCTGAACTTGGGATGTTCCCCTCTGTACTACCAGGCCTTAATACGGATCATAGTACCCCCTATTGCAATCCCTTTTGAGGACGGTAAGATACCAGCCGTGAACACTACACCCTCAGCACCCCTAGACAACGAACCTCTCAGCCAGCGGAGGCCACCCGTCCTCACCTTCCAGATCGCCAAGCAGTCGGTGGGCGGCGTGTGCAAGAAGGAGAACGGCTTAGAGTTTAGGGCCCTGCTCCAGCACATGAAGTTTCTGAAGGCACCTAAATGCGAAACGCCAAGCGCCCACGTGCTCCACGAACCTCTCCGGCATGTTCGGGATCTGTAGAACCCCAGATCCTTGCTTCTTAACACACGGGCCCATCCTAATCTTCGCAGTTGTTGCGACGATCTTCTCCCATTGCTGTGTAGGAGGGAATGAAGGGAGAATATGCGTAGTCGTAATAGCAGTACTACAAGAGAGAATCGTCGTAGCAACGTACAGTAATAGTGCTGATGACAATGTTGAGCCTCCGTTTTACCGGGCTTGTTTTGCTGGGAATCAGGAATTTGAACAGTGGGTCCGGCTGCTATAGAAAGACAAGCTTTCTGGGCGACGTAAGAATGTTTTGAGCGGCGCCGGGGGAGTGGCTCCTTTTACATCACCAGACCGCGTCCACAGGTGAAGAGGGCGCGGCTTTGATTGTAACACTCATAAAGCCTCCAAGCCCTAAACCCTAAACCCTAAACCCTAGACCCTAAACCCTAAACCCTAAACCCTAAACCCTATCCCCTATCCCCTACACCGTCAAGTGCAGCTGTTCCCCCAGCGATGAAGGACCCACCGGAACCGGGGGCTGGCGTGGACGAGGCCTTTCAGGGACGTCTACGTTCGTAGCTTTGGAGGCTAAAGAACCCTAGGCCCTACACTCCTAAACCCTAAACCCTAAACCCTAAACCCTAAACCCTAAACCCTAAACCCTAAACCCTAAACCCTAAACCCTAAACTCCTAAGCCCTAAATGCTTTCCCCTCTGAGATAGCCGTAGAACTGGTGGGCTGCCGTTGGGATGTTACCCCCTTATGCTAACAGGTCCTTAACAGGTATTAGAGTAAGGAACTGTTAGTATAAGGGGGAAGATCCCAAGGTTGACATGTGTTGGGAAAAAAGCACGGAGGCCCCCAAATCGCGCTTTGGCCCAGGATCCACAAGAAGAGCGGGCAGGGTGAGCCGCTCACCGCCGCTCTGTGGGAGAATCCTGAGTCTCCCGGGCAGGGTTCCGTGGACTGCGGCCAAGGAAAAGAAACTCCGCGCAACCGCGCATGCCAGGGGCAAACCTCGAGCGCTGAATGCGTGTGTTTGCAGTGCTCTTGCCGTTACCCACGACAGTGCCTTGTAGAGGCTGGAGTTTGGGGAGTTTTTGGAGCGTTTTGCAGGCTGCAGCAGCTGACCGTGGCCCTGATCCAAGGGACGGCGATGGGAGCCGGGAGCCCCAGAACCGGGTTTAGGGTTTCGACGGTTTCGGGTTTAGGGTTTAGCGGACAGTTTCTCGGCCTTGGCCTCCCAGGAAACTCCTGTGGCGCGGGAGTTTTGTTGGAGTGCCCTGCCTGCCATGCAAGGCCGGTATCGGACTCGTGTGCGCCTGCGACTATGTGATCTCGGTGAAGAGTCCGCCTCCGAGCCAATGCACTGTTGCTGGACTGTCTAGCGGAGCCTTTAGCGTGGCACATCGCAACGAAGGGCTAACGCCCCATGGGCGTTTCCCAAGATAGGCCCCCTTTTTATACACCACCAAAAGCCATCCTCATCCTTGTATTGGACTCCTCTCCCCCCACCTCTCTGAAGTTTCTGGACTCCCTTGGCCCCAGTGGTGGTGTGACTTTTTGGGGAGCTGCTGTCGAGGTGCTTTCTTCACCATGAGCGAAACCAAGCTAGGAGCTGCCCGGCCCCCGGATGTTTGTGGTCTAGGGGTTTAGGGGTTTAGGGTTGTTAGGGGTTTAGGGGTTTAGGGGCTTAGGGGTTTAGGGGTTTAGGGGTTTAGGGTTTTGGGGTTGAGGGCTTATAGGGTTTAGGGTTGAGGGTTTAGGGTTGAGGGTTGAGGGTTTAGGGTTTAGGGTGAGAATCCCGTGAGGTGCCCTCCACCGCTCTACCGTACATCACGAGGCCTGGTGCCCGTGCAACACGGCCCCACAGGCCTCGAAGAGCCGAATTAGAGCCCTCCTGGAGCCACACACCGCGCAGGCGGTGCACTTTCATCAAGAATGTGTCCCGGGGCTCAGCTCAGATGCGCCGAGGGCATTCCGTCGTGTTCGCGGATGCCGGGACAGTTCTCGTCGAGTCCGCATGCGGCAGCTCCGATGTGGGAGCTCAAAGCTTCTCAAAACCCAAGGTATCAGCTGGTCCTTGCCGGTGCCAACCTGTCGGCAGACATAGCTGAGGAGCCTTGAGGGGGGCCTTGACTTGAGGGGGGGGGACCTTGAGTTTTAGGCTGCGGCGGAAATTTTCGGAGAAGCCGTGCTCTGTTTCTCCATGCTTCTTCCCGAGGAGTATGGCTTTGTGGACAAGGTGGTCGACGAAAGCAAGGACCTGGAGGCTCCAAGTGGGACTTTATGCTAAAGCCCCGGCCTGCCCGCGCGCCCCAAAGCAGAGGAGGAACAAGCTGAGCATGTGACGTAAGGCTCATATATTGCTGGGTGTCCCTGTGGGGATACTAGGAGCAGCAAAGACCGTACCGGCCCCTTCAGAAGACCTTAGGAATACATTCAACAAACTCCGAAGTGCCTTATAAATGCACTTCAGGTTGTTGCCACCATGGCTGTGGGGGGCGTTGTTAGGTCTGAGGGTGCAAGGAACGGCCCGCAATCGCCCTGGGCCCTCTAACCCTACTGGCGTTCAATGTGATGCTGGGCCCTGTACCCTAAACCTGAAGCCCTAAAGCCCTAGACCCTAAAACCCTAAAGCCCTAAAACCCGAAAACCCTAAACCCTAAAATCCTAAAACCCTAAAGCCCAAAAACCCTTAACCCTAACACCCAACAACCCTAAAGACCCCTAAAGCCCTATAAGCCCTCAAAAGCACTAAAGTCTCGCGAGGCCGAGTGCCAGGCCGTTTGCGACCGCATGACGCTTTGCGCGCCCGGTGCTGTGGCGGGGTGCCCAGACTGGGGATTTCCCCTTCCCCCCCACGGATCGGTTTAGGGTTTAGGGTTTAGGGTTTAGGGTTTAGGGTTTAGGGCTTAGGGTTTAGGGTTTAGGGTTTCAGCGAGAAGTGCCCCAGCAAACTGCCAGCGGCCCGAAACATCAAGGGTTTATGGGCTTTAGGGGTTTTAGGGGTTTTAGGGTTTAGGGGTTTAAGGGTTTCGATGTAAAGGTTTTGGGGTTTGAGGGTTTCGGATTTAAGGGGGTTGAGGGTGTTGAGGGTGTTGAGGGTGTTGAGGGGGTTGAGGGTGTTGAGGGTGTTGAGGGGTTGAGGGGGTTGAGGGGTTTGAGTTGCTGGTAGCCATCCCCTACCCTAATCCTAGGTAGGATAAGGGGGGACCCTTAAAAGGGAACCCCTTCTTAACCCCTCTTCTGGCTCTCTTAAACAGGGACCTTATTCAGAGGGTCTATGTTCCCAAGGGGCCCCCTAATCCTACCCTAAACCCTAGATCCCAAACCCCCAGAGGGACCTGGAGCTCCTCAAGAGAGTTGCGCCCCCCGAGGCTGCCACCAAAGAAGTGGTCATGAACACGGCGTCGGGCCCAGAGGTCTTGGCGCGCTTAGGGCCTAGGGTTAAGGCTTCGGCTTTAGGGTTTACGGCTTGGGGTTTAAAGCACAAGAACACCCTTAACAAGAGAGCTTACTTCCAGCCCAACCCGTGAATCTACCGTATTATTAGGGTCTTGGAGTACAGATGGCAGTTGCATGTGAATTAGTATCTTGTGTGCGCTTTTAACCAAACCTTGTAAGCGCAATCATATTATTCTCTTCATATTAATGGTAATATTATGTGGGGTCCTTAATGACTTTATTAATGCGCTCATTCGCTCGTTCACTCACTCTATTCATTATTAAGGCGGTAACATGTGTGCGAGAGAGGGGTTATTTTGCTACCTTTATAATTACATGAGCTTCCCTGGTGCTTCCTTAAAGGGGGAACATTAACCTCTTGTACGCACCTGTCAATGAATTGGTGAAGATAGAATCCTTCATGACGTTCTTTCTACCTTCGTTCAACCATTCATTCACTTAATGCATGAGGGTGCTTTTGGTCTTTTAAGGGGCGACTCTGGGGTTCACTGGTTATGACTTTCTTTTCGTCCTGTCATTCGCTTCACCTCCAAGAAACTCCCTTGTCATTAGGAAATACTATTAACCGTACTATCTTTCTATCTTATGAGGAATGAGTGAAGAGAGGGCTTAGGGTTGAGGGTTGAGGGTTGAGGGTTTGGGGTTTGGGGTTGAGGGTTTAGGGTTTAGGGGTTCCTACCAGTTCCGCATAGGGGGGGTTGGGGGGGAGTGAGGGGACGTGGCTTCTGCCCCCCTTTAAATTTGATGAGGCTTCTACCCTAAACCCTGAACCTTCAACCCTGCACCCTAACCGCGAAAAACCCTGGAGGAACTTGCGGTCTATGGCTTGAGGTGCCAGTAGAAAACCGTGCCAGCGCCCACACGCAAAAGCTCCCACAGCCAAGGTAGGGGTGCCCCCATCGTCGTTCATGTCCCGAGCTGCATTGTTGCTGTGCTTTTTTCGGGACTTCCAAAAATGGGCCTACCGGAGGTCTATTCCTGATATCATAAAAGGGCGCATGATTCAAGGTAAACTACTCCTTTGACAGCTGTTTTTTGGAAGATCTGGGCTCTCTTGCGCTTTGAGAGATCAGCCGCTCACCTGCAGGCTGTTTCGTACCCTGTCCCTGCTTGCCTGTTAAAGGGGCCCGAAAACCCTGAACCCCAAATTAGAGGACGGCCCGATGACAGGATGAACTATGTGGCCGGAATCGTGGCGGACATCCGGGCAGGCGGCTTCGGCCCATACCCGGCAGAACTTGAGTAAGGGGCTTGGGACAATTCGGGGTCCGTGTTTGGGGGGGTTCAAAGTTTGGGATGTTGACTTTGTGGCTCCTTTAGAGGGGACACAAGCAGGCCCCTCAATGTGGAAACTCCACAAGAAGCCCTGAGCGGTAAATTTTCTGGGAGTGGTGCAGCCGAAGCCTACCGAAGCAAACCCGAAACCCTAAGCCTGAAACCCGAAACCCTACACCCCAAACCCGAAACCCTAAGCCCTAAACCCTAAATCCTAAGCCCTAAACCCTAAACCTTAAGCCCTAAACCCAAAACCCTAAGCCTTCTAAGCCCTAAACCCTAAACCCCAAACCCGAAACGTCCCGGCAGGCCCGGAGTCAAAGGCTGGGATGCAAGCAGTGCAGTCGGCACCCCTGGCTTCGTGTCAGGCTTTCTCCAAAATGGGGGTTTCCCAAGATAGAGGTACCCCAAATCCTATCATAAGGATTATAGTATTTGGGGGTATATTAGGGGTACCTCTATTTTGGGAAATCTCCAAATCTTGGGGTGGACTTTCGGGTTTCAGGGGTTTAGGGGTTTAGGGGTTTAGGGGTTCAGTGTTTGCTTTAGGTAGGGATTTGAGGGGGTTGCGGGTGGTTTTATCGAGGGTTTGAGGTTTTGGGGTTTAAGTTGCACCACGGCTGCAGAGGTGGAATCAATAAAGTCCTGCACATTCTCACAAGCAAACTTGTCAATGCGGTGCTGCAGCGGAAAGCTGCAAAATCTTTTGTATCAATTATGTACATGGTACATGCTACTGCACATGTAAACGTGCTTACTTCTTGCATATGTATGTGCGCTTCAGGGAACACCGGCACTGACTCTTGTGCTTGCAAGGAACAAGACTCGGCCGAAGTGGGTGCAGCTGGCCCGTGTTTCGCCAGGCTTTCCTGCGTGGCTCTTTCTTCTAGCTGGCTCTTAGTAGGGAATGAGGGAATTCGGGCCCAAAAAACCCTTAAAGGGTATATCTATATATATATATATATGTATATATAGTGCCCTCATTCCCTCATTCCCCCATTCCCTACTAAGAACCCGGGGGGTCTTTCGTTCACTCCCAGCCAGGCCGACACGCCCATCGTGCCGTGAAGTGACCGAACCATGGCAGACTTCACCCCTCGTAGTCTTAGGCGAGTCTCGAAAAGTCCCCCAGCCTGGGCCCAGAACTTGTTCAGAGTTTCTCTGGGTAGCTCGGGCTCCTTGGCCGCGAGAGCCTTCTTCCCACACGGCACGGGAAAACAGCCGCCGGCTCCCTTCCTTTGCGTCCAGCTGACCTTGTTTTTTTTTTCTCTTTCTGCAACGCATCAAGCGGTAGTGTCTACAGCGCCTGCAGCACGGTGCCTGCATGTGTTGAACGCTTGCAAGCTTGTATTTAGTGTTGGGGATGGCGAGCCTGAATTCGAAGTAGAAGCAGCTGGAAGTTATCCAACGACTGCTCCCATCGCTCTCACGCTCCGGCTTTGGAAGGAAGCTGGCCACCAAAGCCGGCCAGGCGCCAGGAGGCATCGAGCACAATCACTTCCTTGCCTTGGATGCTCCATCTTCCTGTGCCCCAGTCTGATCAACTATGCCCCCCACAACAACATCTCAGACGGAAAGTCTTGGCACTGCAAAGATGTTTTTTCCACGTCATGTCTTTTGCTGGGAACTCCGCCAGCTCTGGTTTGGGCTTTTAGCAGCTTTGTGGCTGTCGATCGCATGTACCACGCACGTGCATGACAGTCTACATAGAACCAGAGGAATACATGGGAATGGAGAGGGTCCGTGTGGCCTTGAGAGTTTCGTAGGGTCTCTCGTAGGTTGCAAGTTGCAGACTTGGCGGCTTGCGGCCGTGCTCGATGGCGGTGCCTTCGTGGGCGCGCTGCGCGCGCGCGCCGCTCGCTGGCTGTGCGAGCCGCGGCAGCCGGTGGATCAGCCCTGCAAGGCAGAGGCGCTTGGCATGGTCCCCGAAGGGAGTCTGAGCCAACAAAGCTGCGGGAAGTGGGGTCAGCTGCGAGCGGCGAGGCATACTGAGCTGGACCTGCTGTCTGAGCTGCTCCGCGACCGGACACGGAGCGAGGAGGCGAAGAAGAGCCTGAAGCAGGAGATCCAGCGGCAGCAGGCAGAGCTGGACCTGGCGCATGAAGAGCTGGCGCTGGCGCAAAGCCAGTTGCGGGAGGAGCGCGAGGCCGCCTCCGAGCTGCGAGCAGAGCTGAAGAAGCGGGATGCCACGATCGAGAAGACTTTGGTGCGGGAGCAGCAGACCCAGGCACGGCACGACGAGCTGGTGCTGTTGCGGGAGCTGCTGAGGGATCGACTGGAGGCTGGAGCTAGAGAGGAACAGCTCAGGCGGCTGCAGAGGCAGCCAGAGCCCAGCTCAAAGAGGTGGAAAATTTAATTCATGGTCAAGAATTACGTCACCGAGGTGAACCGCAGAAAAGAAAAAGTTTCTGCGGTTCACCTCGGTAACGTAATTCTTGACCATGAAGTCCTTTAGATTTTCCACCTCTTTGAGCTGTGGAGAAATGGAGTTTCGAACTGGTCGAGGAGGTTGGAAAGCTTTGCCCGGATCTGGCTCTTCTCTTCAAGGAGCAGCTTGCAGAGCCAACTCCCTCGCAGCCCTCACTGCCGGGCGCGACGGATTTGGCGGGACATCGTGCAAACGGGGATCGGAAAGAGCCCCAGCAACCCCACTGGCCCCTTGCGGCCGACCATGATCGTTTCAAGTGATGTGTTTCAAGCCGATTCAATAAACTCAAGCCCCCTTCAAGCCCCCTTCTTCCAATTTCTGGCTGCGGCTTGCTGTCGAAGAGTGGCGGCGAGATGCAGCCAGGCCATGATTTTCAAGCACAGGGGCGCAATATGCAACATGGCGCAGGCTTTGCGTAGAAAAAGGTGCCGTGCAGGGTCTCGCATTGTGGCACTTGCTGCGCTGCCTCCGCTTCCTGTGCTTGATGATGCTTGATGTGCCTGATGTACTGCAACGCATCTCATCTGCAGATCTGCAGGCGGCTTTCTTGTGCAGCCTCGCAAGCTTGCCAGCAACGGAACGTGGAGGCCTGCTCATCTTCCATGCTACACTTGATTACACTTGTAGTTGCATTGTCGTCCGGATATGTCCGGATCTGCATCGGATGTGCGGCTAGCTGCGAGGTCGGCAGTTTCGGTAAGCTTTGGCAGTGCTGTTTTGTGGGGGGATGGTCGAAGTAGGCTCAGGGATCGAGGACGTGCTGGCTGTGAGATTCTGGTGACACTTCAACTACAGGCCCTGCAGGCCCTTTTCAGCCTGTTCTTCAGAAGCCTCAAATCATGGGTGTCGATGCTGTGGATGGTGAGTAACTGCACTCTGCAAACACTGCAAGTCCTGCAACGATAACATCCGACAGCTTAGCTGGTTGGAGGCTGCTGCCGCCGACTGCTTGCAAAGCGACGGGGAGGTGTGTCCCTCAGAGCCCAGAGCTCATCACTTCTTCAGATCGGGTAGGCAGATCCACCATCCTGTCCCCAAGTGTGTGTGCACTAGGACATCTGACTCACCATGCGACAACACCTCAACGGGAGAGTCTTGATGCAGTGCAGAGATGCTTTTTCACGTCAAGTCTTCTGCCGGGAACTCCGCCAGCTCTGGTTTGAGCTTTTAGCAGCTTTGTGGCTGTCGATCGCATGTACCACGCACGTGCATGACGGTGTACATAGAACCAGAGGAATACATGGGAATGGAGAGGGTCCGTGTGGCCTTGAGAGTTTCGTAGGGTCTCTCGTAGGTTGCAAGTTGCGGACTTGGCGGCTTGCGGCCGTGCTCGATGGCGGTGCCTTCGTGGGCGCGCTGCACGCGCGCCGCTCGCTGGCTGTGCGAGCCGCGGCAGGCAGTGGATCAGCCCTGCAAGGCAGAGGCGCTTGGCATGGTCCCCGAAGGGGAGTCTGAGCCAACGAAGCTGCGGGAAGTGGGGCCGCCATCGAAACATGCAGCATACGGAGGCACGTCGGAGGAGCTTCGAGCGGCTCGGCATACTGAGTTGGACCTGCTGTCTGAGCTCCTCCGCGACCGGACGCAGAGTGAGGAGGCGAAGAAGAGCCTGAAGCAGGAGATCCAGCGGCAGCAGGCAGAGCTGGACCTGGCGCATGAAGAGCTGGCGCTGGCGCAAAGCCAGTTGCGGGGAGGAGCGCGAGGCCGCCTCCGAGCTGTGAGCAGAGCTGAAGAAGCGGGATGCCACGATCGAGAAGACTTTGGTGCGGGAGCAGCAGACCCAGGCACGGCACGACGAGCTGGTGCTGTTGCGGGAGCTGCTGAGGGATCGACTGGAGGCTGGAGCTAGAGAGGAACAGCTCAGCCGGGAGATGGCGGCCCTGCGTGCCGATGTGGAGGCGGCGCAGGGGCAGCTGCGCGAGGAGCGGGCGGCCGCGGAGGCGGCTGCAGAGGCAGCCAGAGCCCAGCTCAAAGAGGTGGAAAATTTAATTCATGGTCAAGAATTACGTCACCGAGGTGAACCGCAGAAAAGAAAAAGTTTCTGCGGTTCACCTCGGTGACGTAATTCTTGACCATGAAGTCCTTTAGATTTTCCACCTCTTTGAGCTGTGGAGAAATGGAGTTTCGAACTGGTCGAGGAGGTTGGAAAGCTTTGCCCGGATCTGGCTCTTCTCTTCAAGGAGCAGCTTGCAGAGCCAACTCCCTCGCAGCCCTCACTGCCGGGCGCGACGGATTTGGCGGGACAATCGTGCAAACGGGGATCGGAAAGAGCCCCAGCAACCCCACTGGCCCCTTGCGGCCGACCATGATCGTTTCAAGTGATGTGTTTCAAGCCGATTCAATAAATTCAAGTCACCTTCTTCCAATTTCTGGCTGCGGCTTGCTGTCGAAGAGTGGCGGCGAGATGCAGCCAGGCCATGATTTTCAAGCACAGGGGCGCAATATGCAACATGGCGCAGGCTTTGCGCAGAAAAAGGTGCCGTGCAGGGTCTCGCATTATGGCACTTGCTGCGCTGCCTCCGCTTCCTGTGCTTGATGATGCTTGATGTGCCTGATGTACTGCAACGCATCTCATCTGCAGATCTGCAGGCGGCTTTCTTGTGCAGCCTCGCAAGCTTGCCAGCAACGGAACGCGGAGGCCTGCTCATCTTCCATGCTACACTTGATGACACTTGTAGTTACATTGTCGTCCGGATATTTCCGGATCTGCATCGGATGTGCGGCTAGCTGCGAGGTCGGCAGTTTCGGTAAGCTTTGGCAGTGCTGTTTTGTGGGGGGATGGTCGAAGTAGGCTCAGGGATCGAGGACGTGCTGGCTGTGAGGTTTCTGGTGACACTTCAACTACAGGCCCTGTGCTTCAGAAGCCTCAAATCACGGGTGTGGATGCTGTCGATGGTGAGTAACTGCACTCTGCAAACACTGCAAGTCCAGCAACGACAACATCCGACAACTTAGCTGGTTGGAGGCTGCTGCCGCCGACTGCTTGCAAAGCGACGGGGAGGTGTGTCCCTCAGAGCCCAGAGCCCAGAGCTCATCACTTCAGGAGATCGGGTAGGCAGATCCACCAACCTGTCCCCAAGTGTCTGCACTAGGACATCTGACTCACCATTTGACAACACCTCAACGGGAGAGTCTTGATGCAGTGCAGAGATGCTTTTTCACGTCATGTCTTTTGCCGGGAACTCCGCCAGCTCCGCCCTCGGCTTTTAGCAGCTTTACGGCTGTCGATCGCATGTACCACGCACGTGCATGACAGTCTACATAGAACCAGAGGAATACATGGGAATGGAGAGGGTCCGTGTGGCCTTGAGAGTTTCGTAGGGTCTCTCGTAGGTTGCAAGTTGCAGACTTGGCGGCTTGCGGCCGTGCTCGATGGCGGTGCCTTCGTGGGCGCGCTGCGCTCGCGCCGCTCGCTGGCTGTGCGAGCCGCGGCAGGCAGTGGATCAGCCCTGCAAGGCAGAGGCGCTTGGCATGGTCCCCGAAGGGGAGTCTGAGCCAACGAAGCTGCGGGAAGTGGGGCCGCCATCGAAACAGGCAGCATACGGAGGCACGTCGGAGGAGCTGCGAGCGGCGCGGCATACTGAGCTGGACCTGCTGTCTGAGCTGCTCCGCGACCGGACGCAGAGTGAGGAGGCGAAGAAGA